ATTCACTCACACACTTTTATATTACAAGCTGTATTGGTGAAGTTGAATTTGTTGAGGAGCATCACATTTCTGCCTTTGTGCAGAAGTTTCAAGGCAAGAGAACAAATGACTGCGAAGAGCTACATTTCGCACGAAAGTAGGGCAGGATACAAATTTCACCGCGACGCTGAAATCGCCCCTGCTCTTATCGGCCTCGGCGCGGAGGCCTCCTGTTTCGGTCGTCCCTACCATCCGAACCGGCTCGGCGAGTGCAGCAAACTTCTAATGAATAAATGAAGAGCTCGCCGGCGAGGGCGAACTCATGGAGGCGCCACGACTGCCACGTCTTCGCCAGAAACCTGGGCGCCTTCATTGCTCCGCGCTGCCTCCTCTGCCGCGTCTTCTGCCGTCTTCTCGATTTCCTCGCATATATTTTCTGCTGTTTCTACCACCGTCCTCTCCACTTCTCCTTTCATTGATTGATAACTCCGGGCGCGGAAAGTCGTTATTCCCGTACGTGTAGTACATTTTTTATCGCGGGAGCTGTCGATGGTTTCCCCCGCTAAATGGTGAAAACCGGCGCCGGCCTGCACGTCTGCTTGCAGAGTTTTCCCAAACCAGGTATCTCCCACTTGCAGTGCACCGTTCCAGCCGGGATAAGCTCTAAATTTCTGTATGGTCTCCGCCATGTGTAGTGCGTGTAAGTGTAAGTGTAAGTGTATGTAAGTAAAGGGTGATGATAGGACAAGAAGAGGAAGAAAAGATCTCACGTGCTTCCTGGCCCGTTTGTTAGTGTACTGCTCCGGCATTCGTCTGGTGTTGATCGGGGAACTCGCTCGAATTTTCATCCAGATAGTGACTGAAGTCGATCTAGCAATGTAGAAAGTATCGAAAATCATACCATCGTCGGAACTCGAACTCTAGAACCTCCCGCTTAGAAGTACTGTAGTGACAGATGTATGTCGTGAACCTCTGCCATTTCCTCTGCCGCATTCTCTGCCGTCATCTTTGCTTTCTCCTCTGCAATCTCATCTACTGTGTCCTTTACAGTTCTCTTTTATATTCCATCTCCTCTGTCCGTTTCTCAGCCATGTCATCTGCAGTCATTTCAGTCATCTTTTTGGAAGTCACCTTTTCCGTTTCGTGTATTGTTCTGTCACATACTCTTCTGACTCCTCTGCAGTCCTCTCTGCTGACTTCTCTGTAGGGTTCTCTGCATTCTTCTCTGCAAGCTCTTCTATTGTCTTCTCTGTCATCCCCTCTCCCAACATTACTGCTGTTTCCCATAATATTTCATTAGACTTTTCGTTACTGTTTCTATTACCGTAACTATCTTCAAACGTCAAACTCGCCCAGATTTTTTTCCTTGGCGCTTCATATAACTGTGAAATTTTTCGTAGTATGAGTCTCCTTCAATGTGAATGGCATCCAAAGTCTAGCCCCCATCGGCCTTTTCACGTTTGCCGAACCTCTTCCCCCCTGTGCTCTAGTTCTGTCGGCGAACCGCCATTATTCATTCACTTCTTCTCTTTTCTCGTACATAGAACTCCACTGCTCTTTTCCTCGCTGACACTTCAACGTCCGTATCTAACACTTCATCTCTCACTCCACATCATCTTCAGCTCTGTTTTGTCTCCTTTTAGTTTTTCTTAAATAATTCTTTAATTTCAAGAATTCGCTTTGCTAGTTTTCTATCGCCACCAGAGAAATAGCACTATGCATGCTCTCCGGAACCCAGTTATTCTCTGCCGTCATCTTCAGTTTTCTTTCCAATCGCAAACTGTATGTCAGAGTAATCATTTCCTTCTGACAGCTAAAGGAGAACCGTTTTATCTGCTAAGTACTTGGGTTTTACAATCGATTTCATTTTATTCAAAGACGTAACAAGGTGATCAGAAAGTGCTTTTTCTCAATCATTCTCTATTGACTATCCATTTCGTTATATCAAATAAGCTCGCAATATTTTCCTTCTATAGGTTCTATGTGTGATTATAAAAACTACTTAAAATTCAAATGAAAAAAGTGATTACAAACTAAACTAAACAATTGTTATTATAATGATAAAGTATACACGACTTGTGTCCTTAATGTATTCCGGTAAAAAATAAAACTTTAATACGTTAAATTAAAATTGAAATACTTGTTAAAATGAGTTTACTTGAGTTTTCTTAATTCCTGTATGTCATCTTATTGTTACGTTTTTGTAAAAGTAATATATTAGACACAAACAAAAAAGATAATAAAAGCATCCTTGAATTGTGCTCAGAAGGCAAAAGCTATTATTATCGACTCCGTCCACGTTTTCCTTCATATGTACTTGTACAAACTTCTAACATTAATTATTATTTCCGACGTTTAACAAATTACACAGTTTTTTGTATGTCCCGTCTCGTGTTCACCCGTTTTACCCTACAACTGTGTTTGTATCATAATCATTCTGCACTCTATGTCTACCTTTAAGGCAACCATTCACACCCATTATATTCGATCTGTCTCACTTTCTCCATTGACCACTTTCTGTGCGTCCATTGGCTTTCGCTTTCTCTTTATTTCTTCACATAACCATTCACCTTACAATGTTTTTTTCTTTGTCACATCAACAAAGATAGCTTTTTGCACTGTGTTTTCTTCTTCTTCTTCTTTAAATTTTCTCAATTTCACTGCGCCTGGACGATATTTTGACGGAAGGTATATGTATAAAAGTTACGAAATGGAAAGTATTTTTCTGCCCTGTTGCTTCAGGTCATATCGAATACGCCCTAGTACATTCAGTGAATTGTACTTTACGACTACTTAAAAGAACATACTATTTATTGGCCGCTTTCTGAGAGTTAAACATTTTAAATTAATTTTTCATGATTAAATCATATTCAGATTTTTTATTAACATTTAATTTCAGTTTGTGCAGGAAAGCATAGCTGTTCGACATCACAATTAAACATTCTCATTACACATTCGTAGCACTGCGTAAAAAAAGAACAGGGTGAAAACATCTTGCATTTAATTTTTATTTCGCTTTCCCTCCATTTTCGAAGCATTCATCTCCATTGCGTCGTTTTCGTCTCATTTCCGCGATCCCTTTCTGTTTCATCAGGCTGAGTCCCGTCCGCCTCCTTGCGTCTGCTCGCAGGTGGAGCCGCCCTCGCGCCCCGTCGCCTTGTCGCGTTGCCGCGTCGTCGGCGCGCCGCCTCCGCGCGCTCGCAGGTTCGCGCGCTGGCATAGCATGACGCCACGGGCCGCTGGAGGGTGGCTGAGCGGCTTCTTCGCTCGACTCTCTTCCGCATACACCGTCTCCACCGCCCCTGCGCTCCGCCCCTCCTCTCCCGCTTCTCGTTCCGCCCACTCCATCTATCC